TGTTCACTGTCAGAGGCGTGCGAATGTGTTTTGGGGAGAGAATACAGGGGCTGTGATCAGGCTGTCACCCCTTGGCAAGAAGCTGTGGTTTACAAGCCTTCGCTTTCTTGCCATTTCTGGTTATCAAGTGCCTGTTGGGGAAGATTGGTGGCACAGACCACAGTATGTTCTAGTCCTCAGATGTTCTAACCATCATCCAATTGCTTGTTCTGACTCCCGGTTCTTAAAATGTGCTTGTATTTGGAGCTGCTCTAATGTTACAGGGAGGAAGCTCACTCTGCAGCGCTCCTGTTTCCTGGTCTGCTGCTTTGATGTGCAGGTGCTGCTGGGCGAGCTAAGATTTCCGTGGCTTGGAGTACCTTCAGTGTCCTGATATGGTTAGTGATGTCTCCTTTTGCTTACCAGATACCCCCTGGTCTCCCTGCGCTTTCTGAGGAGGAGACTGCTTTGATTGCAGTGGTGGACCACCTGGGTTCCAGTGATATCCACAGGCAGAAGCATGTGCACAGAAGTCCTCACCTGCCTCGATTCCTGGTTGGTGCACCGCAGTATGTAGCACTAATGAATATCTTGTAAGAATCCAGCAAGGACCTGGTGCCACAGCCTAGTGGTTAAAGTGCCGGGATCCCATATGGGCACTGGTTCTAATCCCGGCAGCCCTACTTCCCATCCAGCTCCTTGCTTATGGCCTGGGAAGGGAGTTGAGGACAGCCAAAGCCTTAGGACCCTGCACCCCTGTAGGAGACCTGTACAGCACTGGCCATTGCGCTCACTTGGGGAGTGAATCATTGAACGGAAGATCTTCCTCTCTGTCTCTCCTCCTCTCTGTATCTCTGACTTTCTAATAAAAATAAATAAACCTTAAAAAAAAAAAGAAGCCAGCAGCAGTTTGGTTTGGTTCAGTTCTATTCTGACTTGAAGGAAAATGACAAGTTTTAGTTTTAGAAGAGTTCTGGGTTAACGTGAGCAGATAGTGCAGAGACTCCTGGCGTGTCCCACCTTGCCTCAGTGTGGTCTGTGCATCATGGTGGGTGAACCAGAGTGGATGCACTGCTCTCCGCTGGAGCTCCGTGCGTGTGGCTTAGCAGGGCTTTGTGAGGTTGGTCAGTTCCCCAGCAGGTTTTCATAGTCAGTGACTTGACTTCTCACACTCCTCACGGCATCGTTCACAGATTCTTTTTAGTGACATTTATAATCCCTTCTTTGATGGTCTGTGTTATTTTTTAAAAGAATTCCTCAGCAGTGGACAAGGTTGCCTAGATCTTTTTGTGTTAGAAATCTTAAACCTAATTTGGGAAGTCTTAAAGTCTCTGTCTTGATTTTCTTTAAGATTTATACATTTCTGTTAGACAGGTAGATTGGGTTTACACAGTGAAGGAGATACAGAAAGATCTTCCAAGTGCTGATTCACTCATCATATGGATGCAGTGGCCGGAGCTGGGCTGAGCTGAGCTGAAGCCAGGAGCTAGGAACCTCTTCTGGATCTTCCACATAGGCGCAGGGTCCCGAGTCCTTGGGCCAAAAGCAGGGAGCTGGATGGGAAGTGGAGCAGTTGGGACATGGGCTGGCACCCAAAGGGGTCTCAGCTTTTGCAAGATGAAGCCTTAGCTGTTGAGGCATTGCATTGGACTTGATTTTTTTTTATTGAAGTCGAAGACGTTCAGTTGTGCCAGCATTACTGATTGACATGATTATTGCTTGCTTAATAATCACCTGTGCACCTTACCCACAGAGGTCTCCTTCCCCACTCTGCATTGCTTCCCATGAATTTATATATTACTTTACCCTTTCTTTGTTTACTAGCTCTGAGACATTTATTTTATGAATTCATTTATTTTTAAATTTTGATAATCTTTACATAGTTGATTAGCATACAAAGGGTCAAGGCTACAGGAAAGTGGGTAAGACCATTGTTTCCACATTTTTTTTTCTGTATGTGGGGTAAGGAGGAAAATAAAGGGAGAAACCCCACCCAGCCTCATATCCCATCCCAGGGTCCCCGACTCGGGGCATGCTCCAAGGGCACTGCTCAAGTGGTTTTGATAGTTGAGCAGCTTTGGATTGCTGCAAATCTTGTCATTCCAAACACGATGAAATCACTCCAGAATGCACTGGCTGAAATAGTCCACCTTAGAGTCTCCATTTGTCCAGATTTTCACTGCCAACACATGGCTGGGGTACTTGATTAATTTTTCTGTCCTCCATGCTCTGTTGTAGTACCAGGTGTCCTCTGCAGGTTCCGATGGACTGCCATATCCTCCATGTGCACCTGGGTATGCTGTCCACTGCTCCGCGTGAGCCTCTGAGGAGGCTCAGCTTTGACACTTGCACTCCATGGTCAGACCATGGAACCTGCACTTCTCTTCATGGTTGGGGTTCTGAGATCAGTTCAGTTGGAGTGATCCCCAGAGATACTTTTTCTGAGATGATATCTGACCTGATACTTGTGTGTTCATGCCAGTACAAGGTCTGGCACAGTTGGTCGCTCCAGTCAGCTTATGCATATGCTGGTGGTTGCAATTTCTGGGTCAATTCTGTCTCCAGCCCTGTCTTCCATGCAAAGTAATGGATATTGCAGTCCAGCCTGATTGTGCCCACCATACACTCAACCTTCACACAAATCAGTGGGAGCTTCAGCCTAGTCAGAGCAACCCACAATAATCCCAACCAGGCCCGCCCACTGCCCTGGTTCTTGTGCTTGCCAGTATGTACAGTAGACTGGTCCAGTCTATGACGCATCCCATACATGTCAGCTCTCATACAAGTCAATGGGCATTGAAGCCCAGTTGAACCCAACCAGCCCTACTATCCAGCCCACAGACATGCTGGGGGAGGGGGTGCCATTCTGTCTAGCTATGCCTGCCCCAGTTCTGGTTCTCATGGTCTCCAGTAGGAGTGGAAACCCAAGAGGGAGTAGTGAAATGTAACATTTCATTACTATGACTTCATAAGAAGTCCTCGTGTTACTATAAATTGCTAAATACTAAAATGAAAATAGACACAAGACAGCTGAATAGTACCCTATAGCCATTTTAAGGTGAGTAGAAGCCGTTCATATATAAACTAAAAATGAATTGTCTATGAAGTAGTCACAGGATTTAGTTAAGAACTTGCATTTTTAAAAACATATTGGTTACTCAATACCATGTCAATTAATTCCATAATGTTGTAAATTGTTATGTTGTGGCTTTTAATAGATCGGGATGATGCTCTGCCTTCAGACCAGAGATGGTCTCCCCAAGAAACCGTTGAATTAATCTGGACAGTAAGAAGCTGGACTCTATGCTTGGTATATGCTTCCAATGAAAGACTCTTTGACTGAATTTGAACTGTACTACTGCAACAAGGTGGAGGAATCCACCATGGGGGGAGGGTATGTGGAGGGGTTGGGGGAATCCCAGAACCTATGAAACAGTGTCACATAATGCAATGTAATTTAAAAAAAAAAAGTAGTCCTAGTATTAGTAGTACCAATATTGTGGGACTTTTAAATCCAAATTTAATTAATTCTTTATTTTTATATTTATGGGCTTGAATATATTCAAATTCAGGAAGAAAGAGAGACTGGAGGAGAGAGTGTTGTCATTTGCTGGTCCAGTCCCCAAACATGGCTGAGCTGGCCTGGGCTGGGGCTGAAGCCAGTAACTAGCAGCTCACTTGGGATTACCTCCATGGGTAGCTGGAATCCAATGACTTGAACTCTCAGCAGTGTCTGCATGAGCCAGAAGCTGGAGGAGTGCAGAGATCTGCATCAAGCTCAGGTCCTCCTGTGGGGCAAGGGTTTCCCAGTGTCTTAACCACTCAGCCAAATGCCCACCCTCGTTACATTTTGTTCCTTTTGCATTTTTCAAGATGGCTCTGTTTTATTCATTAGCTATAGATGAACATATAACCCTTGTATATTTTAACCCTTGTACTCTATTTCAAAACGTATATAGAAAATAAGCCAGTCTTATAGGAAAATTCGACTTTTCATTTATTGACGTGACCTGACTTTCTTTGTGTCTTTCTATAGTGTCTCACCCCATCATTTCTTCTTTCTGGAATATTTATGCATTTCTAAATTATTTCCAAAGGAAAGGAAGAGGGAAGGGTAGCAAGCAAGAGAGACCAAGAGATCTTCCTCTGCTGAATCACTACCTAAGTGGCTGCAACAGCTAAGGCTGGGTCAGCCTGAAGGCAGGAGACCCGAACTTAATTTGAGACCAGTGCGTTGGTTATGTATCTGCTGTCGTGACTGCCAGAATACACACGCACAGGAACCTGGAGGAGGAAGCCAGGCTGGGACTTGAGCCCAGGCAGGCAGCTGCAGGGGACGATGTTCCTGAACATCTTACATGTTGTGAAGAGACCCAGGCCGCACCAGAGTCCCCAGAGTCTCAGGTCCACAAAGGCTGGACGGGCAGGAAGCCAAGGGAGCCAGGAGGTGAGTGCTGCCAAGTAGGCAGTTGTCAGGCACCAGGTACCAGGCAGGCATGATCATTATCCTCACGATGCTAAGTAGTTAGTGGAGTGCAGTGCCATTCAGTAGGGTCCAGCCATAATGAAAAACAAAAAGACCAAAATCCATCAGCTTCCAAACCACTGAAACTGTGAAATATATCTTGACACTAGAATGCTGGACTTCATGCCATTCTTTATACCTACACTATCTGTATACGCTTCAATAGCAGGATGATGGATTTGTGATCATTGTTGATGGACTAAACTGTTACAATATAGCAGAAAACAGTAGGGGAAGGGAGGGGAGTAGGGGAAAACCCTGAGCCTAAGGAACTGTATCATAAAAAATAGAGTTAAAAAATGACGGTCCTGGTGCGGCAGCTAGTGGCTAAATCCTCATCTTGCATGTTTCCATTTGGACACCAGCTCATGTCCTGGTCACTCCACTTTCCCATCCAGCTCTCTGCTTGTGGCCTGGAAAGGCAGTGGAGGATGGCCCAAAGCCTTGAGACCCTGCATCCATGTAGGAGACCCAGAAGGAGCTCCAGACTCCTGGCTTCATATCGACTCAGCTCCAGCCATTGTGTCCACATGGTGAGTGAACCAGCAGATGGAAAATCTTTCTGTCTTTCCTTCTCTTTGCATTACTGACTTTACAACATTTTTTTTTTCCTAAAAAATTGAAGACTTCACTCTGAAGGAAAAAAATTGCCATTAAGCCCTGTTCTGTTGAATTATATGTAAACTACTTGAATCATTTGCTATGTTGGAAAAGTCTGTTGTGGAGCTGAGATGAAAGTTGTGATACATAGGAAGTGTTCTTTTTAGTTGACGTTGGGAGCAAAACAAAGCCCCCAACTCAGAGGAAGGACATGGATACAGGATGCAAGATGTGTATAGACAGGTCCTTAGTGGAATGATGCTCCCACATACAGCCTGGGTGAGGGAAGAGAGGCAACCCAAATCTGGAGTGCCACCCTCTTGAGGTAGAACACAAACAAAGTTTGAAAATGAATTATGTGTTCACTTTGTACTGTCCCCTGCTTCTGTTCCTAGACTATTTAATGGACATAGGAAAGCCTGCCGAAACACAGAGAAGACTGCGCGTGGTTTATAACGTGGCATGTCTCCCTGGAGGAAAAGCCTGGGAAAGGTGGAGTGACTTCCTGGCAGTTCTTGAGAAAGCAACACTTGTTTGAAAGCTAATTCTGCCATCCTGCTTTACAACCACAGAGAGTGATGGGCAGGGAGAGATGTGCTTCTCTGTTATAGTGAAAAAGGCAGGACTTTGAAATCAGTCTTGGGGACCACAACTCCCAAGACTGATGGATGAGGGCAGGTCCCTTTAAAGGGCAGGTGACCTTGTTTACCAGTGGCCCGGGCAACTGGAAGGCGGGGGCTCTGGAGATTCCATGACTCAAACAAACGCTGCTGCTCTAACTGCCTGGCAGTTGGCTGACAAGGAGGGCCTTCGAGCTTAACTTGGGAATAGCTACTGAAAAACTGAATTACAGTTATTTCTGAATTATAGTTTTTATATACCAGTTATATATTAAAAAGTTGCAGTTTCTGTGGGGGGGGGTTCCCCCCCACAGAAGTGTAAGTAAGTACAAATGATACTTAAAGGCACCGTCCACTGCTGATGAGGACCACAGTATTTGACTGATTTTAACTGCTTCTCTGCTTGTGTTTCTTCATGCTAGTCCCTGAATTGGTGAGGTACTGAATTGCGAGCAAGATGGCAAAACCACTTGATCCTATGACTGCCATATCAAATCTCGACATCAGGTTAAAGCAGCTCATTCTAGAAGAAGCTAGAATAGAGGAGAAATTGAAGGCCATCGAACAACAGGAGATAGCACATAGAGCACGCGTGAAACAATTATGTAAGTTCTGTAGCTCCTCCCAACAGAGTGATGAATCATTATGTTATCATTCTGGGTCATGAAATGTTTTCCACGTGTAATGCTCCCATCCAAGTACTAACGAGGCCTGACCCTGCCCAGCTTCTGAGATCAGATGAAATCGGGCGTGGTCAGGGTAGTATGGCTGTAAATTGCACATCTAATTCTTCTGTTGCCTTCATCGACGACACTGTCATTGTTACCACCCTCTGAGAAAATAGTATATATATTTTCTTTAAGTTTACTGAATATGGAATAAGCAAGGCATGAACAGGGAAGTATTTCTGCAACAGTACCTGTCACTGTTACAAGGAAACAAGATATTTCAAAGTAGTTAGTTGAGTATTTCATACCGAAGGTTCTGTTATATGTACTGACATACAAGCTTACATTGCATATAAAATCACACACATATGTACTAGCCAAACAGGCAAATGTGGTGAAGGGTGGCAGGTGGTCCGACATGTAGGGCACAGGGGAATACATTAAGGATTCCAATTGATGGGTGTAGGTGATGTTGTCAGGACCACTGACTGTCCCACTAAAGAGGGTAACCTACTTATGCTGTACCAGTGACAGGCTCCAGTCACAGAGCCATGTGTGTGTACCCCAAGAGGGCTTGCCAAGGCTACGGGTTCCTGGAGTGTCCAGCACCAGGCCCGCTGTGGACGGAGGGCGGGAGGGAGGAAAGGAGGGCACTGCAGACTTTGAGAGGCCATGTGGCCAGCCATCGGTGCCAGGTTGTGCAGCATGCGGGGGGCAGATGCCCAGGCAGACTGAGGCATGAGCTGAGGGCATGGGTCTTCCATGGCTGCTGGGGCTAGCTCGTTGTGGACCCTCACGTGCGTTGGTCTCACTGAGGCTACCTTGCTCCTGCTTTACAGTGGACTCCGCCGCCGCCGCCGTTGCCTCCGTCTTCCCAACCTCCGATGGACGACAGGCTGGCAATGACCAAAAGGCAACAGTGGGCACAGGCCGCACCGAGGTGGAGCCCGGGTAAGTGTGTGTGTGTGTGTGTGGCAGTGGCTGTGGCCATGAAACATGGCTGGCCAGGCCTGAGTGGAATGTGGGGTGTCCCAGGTGCCATTGGAGGAGGCGGCAGGCTGGGCTGTGGAAGGCTGGTTCCTGGTGTTCCAGGAAGGTTGCATTCTGCCCCTGCACTCCAACTCTGCTATGGTCAGGGCCCGCCAGGTCTGTAGAGGCTTTGGCACTGTGCCTTGCCAAGAGCTGTCCCTGGTGCTGGCTGTCAGCCATTTGTGTAGAAGCCCCCTGGGGTGCTGCCTGTGTGCCTCTGGGTCCTGCTGGGTCCTGGGAGCGCAGGGGCCAGAGATCAACCACCTCGTGAGTTGTGCGTGGTGCCGCATCTCCGTGAGGCCCCATGAAAGGAGTACCCCATCGCAGTCTCTGTTTTGGTGCTGGGCAAAGTGTGGGTGTAGGATGTGTGTTGTTGCTGCGGCAGCTGGTGCAGCCAGCGTCGGGGACAGAGAGCGAGCAGAGAGAAAGGTGGCCAGGGCAGCCCGTGGCGTGTTTGGTGGTGGGGACCGCCAGGGCCAGGCTCATGGAAGTGTCCCAGGCCTAGCATACCAGCACCTTGGTGTTGACCAGCATGCACGGGCTTGCTTCTAACCGGACCCTGACTGAATGCAAGCGGGAGAGAGCAGGGCCTTGGGGTGGGCGGTGAGATGGGGTCCTCTGCTGCAGAACCAGCCTCCTGCACGGCCCCCCACCTCCTGCATGTCCCCACACGGTCCCAGCACCACCCTGCCTGGACCATGGTCCCCAGAGTTTCCGAGCTCTTTCCTTAACCTCCAGCCGCGGGTGCCCTGGTGCCAGGCATGCGTTGCTGAGGCCCCCGGTTGCATGGGTTGCCACTGCCACGCTGTTTTCCCCTGTGGCCCTGTGCCCTTGGGCCCAGAAGGGAGGCCGAGCGCCAGCAGTGGTGGCTGCTGAGGACCCGGGCCCCTCGGTCCTGCCCTGAGGCCCAGCAGCGCTCACCTCACTTCTTCCCCGTCCTGTCTCCTCAGGGCCAGGTCCGTGGCCCACATTTTCCCACAGAACGCCCGTGCCTACAAGGCTGCAGAAGTGCTGCATGACTGGGCCCCAGAGGCCAGCCCCATGCGCGTGGTCCCCAGCCCTAGCACAGCTGTAGAGGCACCACTGAGCTCGGCCGAGCCGGTGGAAGGTGAGTCATGTCATGGGATGCCGTGGGGCTGCTCGGCCCCAGGGCTGCTCGTTCACGCATGGCTCCTGTGGTGTCCAGAGCCCCAGGACACGCCCCGAGCCTGTTGTGGGCCCAGGCGGGCATTGTTGGTGCTGGTGGCTGGAAGTTGTTCCCAAATCCCTCACCCTCTCGCGTGGCCCCTTTAGCCCTGACCTCCAGGGTGCGATGCCTGGCTGGAACGAGGTGGTGAGGCAAGGGTAGTTCCCTGGGCAATATGGAGCCGGATTCCTGACCTTGGCCAGGAGCGGGCGTGACCAGAAACCATGGGCTTGTGATTGAACGGTCGACCCGTGCATGAGAATAGCTGCAGATGTGCCGTGCAACCGGCCCCATTTGCAGTGCCCGTGTGTGTACCCCAAGAGGGCTTGCCAGCTTGCCAAGGCTACGGGTTCCTGGAGTGTCCAGCACCAGGCCCGCTGTGGACGGAGGGCGGGAGGGAGGAAAGGAGGGCACTGCAGGCTTTGAGAGGCCATGTGGCCAGCCATCGGTGCCAGGTTGTGCAGCGTGTGGGGGGCAGGTGCCCAGGCAGACTGAGGCATGAGCTGAGGGCATGGGTCTTCCATGGCTGCTGGGGCTAGCTCGTTGTGGACCCTCACGTGCGTTGGTCTCACTGAGGCTACCTTGCCCCTGCTTTACAGTGGACACCGTCGCCGCCTCCGATGGGCAACAGGCTGGCAATGACCAAAAGGCAACAGTGGGCACAGGCCGCACCGAGGTGGAGCCCGGGTAAGTGTGTGTGTGTGTGGCAGTGGCTGTGGCCATGAAACATGGCTGGCCAGGCCTGAGTGGAATGTGGGGTGTCCCAGGTGCCATTGGAGGAGGCGGCAGGCTGGGCTGTGGAAGGCTGGTTCCTGGTGTTCCAGGAAGGTTGCATTCTGCCCCTGCACTCCAACTCTGCTATGGTCAGGGCCCGCCAGGTCTGTAGAGGCTTTGGCACTGTGCCTTGCCAAGAGCTGTCCCTGGTGCTGGCTGTCAGCCATTTGTGTAGAAGCCCCCTGGGGTGCTGCCTGTGTGCCTCTGGGTCCTGCTGGGTCCTGGGAGCACAGGGGCCAGAGATCAACCGCCTCGTGGGTTGTGCGTGGTGCCCCATCTCCGTGAGGCCCCATGAAAGGAGTACCCCATCGCAGTCTCTGTTTTGGTGCTGGGCAAAGTGTGGGTGTAGGATGTGTGTTGTTGCTGCGGCAGCTGGTGCAGCCAGCGTCGGGGACAGAGAGCGAGCAGAGAGAAAGGTGGCCAGGGCAGCCCGTGGCGTGTTTGGTGGTGGGGACCGCCAGGGCCAGGCTCATGGAAGTGTCCCAGGCCTAGCATACCAGCACCTTGGTGTTGACCAGCATGCACGGGCTTGCTTCTAACCGGACCCTGACTGAATGCAAGCGGGAGAGAGCAGGGCCTTGGGGTGGGCGGTGAGATGGGGTCCTCTGCTGCAGAACCAGCCTCCTGCACGGCCCCCCACCTCCTACATGTCCCCACACGGTCCCAGCACCACCCTGCCTGGACCATGGTCCCCAGAGGTCTCCGAGCTCTTTCCTTAACCTCCAGCTGCGGGTGCCCTGGTGCCAGGCATGCGTTGCTGAGGCCCCCGGTTGCATGGGTTGCCACTGCCACGCTGTTTTCCCCTGTGGCCCTGTGCCCTTGGGCCCAGAAGGGAGGCCGAGCGCCAGCAGTGGTGGCTGCTGAGGACCCGGGCCCCTCGGTCCTGCCCTGAGGCCCAGCAGCGCTCACCTCACTTCTTCCCCGTCCTGTCTCCTCAGGGCCAGGTCCGTGGCCCACATTTTCCCACAGAACGCCCGTGCCTACAAGGCTGCAGAAGTGCTGCATGACTGGGCCCCAGAGGCCAGCCCCATGCGCGTGGTCCCCAGCCCTAGCACAGCTGTAGAGGCACCACTGAGCTCGGCCGAGCCGGTGGAAGGTGAGTCATGTCATGGGATGCCGTGGGGCTGCTCGGGGCTGCTCGTTCACGCATGGCTCCTGTGGTGTCCAGAGCCCCAGGACACGCCCCGAGCCTGTTGTGGGCCCAGGCGGGCATTGTTGGTGCTGGTGGCTGGAAGTTGTTCCCAAATCCCTCACCCTCTCGCGTGGCCCCTTTAGCCCTGACCTCCAGGGTGCGATGCCTGGCTGGAACGAGGTGGTGAGGCAAGGGTAGTTCCCTGGGCAATATGGAGCCGGATTCCTGACCTTGGCCAGGAGCGGGCGTGACCAGAAACCATGGGCTTGTGATTGAACGGTCGACCCGTGCATGAGAATAGCTGCAGATGTGCCGTGCAACCGGCCCCATTTGCAGTGCCCGTGTGTGTACCCCAAGAGGGCTTGCCAGCTTGCCAAGGCTACGGGTTCCTGGAGTGTCCAGCACCAGGCCCGCTGTGGACGGAGGGCGGGAGGGAGGAAAGGAGGGCACTGCAGGCTTTGAGAGGCCATGTGGCCAGCCATCGGTGCCAGGTTGTGCAGCGTGTGGGGGGCAGGTGCCCAGGCAGACTGAGGCATGAGCTGAGGGCATGGGTCTTCCATGGCTGCTGGGGCTAGCTCGTTGTGGACCCTCACGTGCGTTGGTCTCACTGAGGCTACCTTGCCCCTGCTTTACAGTGGACACCGTCGCCGCCTCCGATGGGCAACAGGCTGGCAATGACCAAAAGGCAACAGTGGGCACAGGCCGCACCGAGGTGGAGCCCGGGTAAGTGTGTGTGTGTGTGGCAGTGGCTGTGGCCATGAAACATGGCTGGCCAGGCCTGAGTGGAATGTGGGGTGTCCCAGGTGCCATTGGAGGAGGCGGCAGGCTGGGCTGTGGAAGGCTGGTTCCTGGTGTTCCAGGAAGGTTGCATTCTGCCCCTGCACTCCAACTCTGCTATGGTCAGGGCCCGCCAGGTCTGTAGAGGCTTTGGCACTGTGCCTTGCCAAGAGCTGTCCCTGGTGCTGGCTGTCAGCCATTTGTGTAGAAGCCCCCTGGGGTGCTGCCTGTGTGCCTCTGGGTCCTGCTGGGTCCTGGGAGCGCAGGGGCCAGAGATCAACCGCCTCGTGGGTTGTGCGTGGTGCCCCATCTCCGTGAGGCCCCATGAAAGGAGTACCCCATCGCAGTCTCTGTTTTGGTGCTGGGCAAAGTGTGGGTGTAGGATGTGTGTTGTTGCTGCGGCAGCTGGTGCAGCCAGCGTCGGGGACAGAGAGCGAGCAGAGAGAAAGGTGGCCAGGGCAGCCCGTGGCGTGTTTGGTGGTGGGGACCGCCAGGGCCAGGCTCATGGAAGTGTCCCAGGCCTAGCATACCAGCACCTTGGTGTTGACCAGCATGCACGGGCTTGCTTCTAACCGGACCCTGACTGAATGCAAGCGGGAGAGAGCAGGGCCTTGGGGTGGGCGGTGAGATGGGGTCCTCTGCTGCAGAACCAGCCTCCTGCACGGCCCCCCACCTCCTGCATGTCCCCACACGGTCCCAGCACCACCCTGCCTGGACCATGGTCCCCAGAGGTCTCCGAGCTCTTTCCTTAACCTCCAGCCGCGGGTGCCCTGGTGCCAGGCATGCGTTGCTGAGGCCCCCGGTTGCATGGGTTGCCACTGCCACGCTGTTTTCCCCTGTGGCCCTGTGCCCTTGGGCCCAGAAGGGAGGCCGAGCGCCAGCAGTGGTGGCTGCTGAGGACCCGGGCCCCTCGGTCCTGCCCTGAGGCCCAGCAGCGCTCACCTCACTTCTTCCCCGTCCTGTCTCCTCAGGGCCAGGTCCGTGGCCCACATTTTCCCACAGAACGCCCGTGCCTACAAGGCTGCAGAAGTGCTGCATGACTGGGCCCCAGAGGCCAGCCCCATGCGCGTGGTCCCCAGCCCTAGCACAGCTGTAGAGGCACCACTGAGCTCGGCCGAGCTGGTGGAAGGTGAGTCATGTCATGGGATGCCCTGTGGGGCTGCTCGTTCACGCATGGCTCCTGTGGTGTCCAGAGCCCCAGGACACGCCCCGAGCCTGTTGTGGGCCCAGGCGGGCATTGTTGGTGCTGGTGGCTGGAAGTTGTTCCCAAATCCCTCACCCTCTCGCGTGGCCCCTTTAGCCCTGACCTCCAGGGTGCGATGCCTGGCTGGAACGAGGTGGTGAGGCAAGGGTAGTTCCCTGGGCAATATGGAGCCGGATTCCTGACCTTGGCCAGGAGCGGGCGTGACCAGAAACCATGGGCTTGTGATTGAACGGTCGACCCGTGCATGAGAATAGCTGCAGATGTGCCGTGCAACCGGCCCCATTTGCAGTGCCCGTGTGTGTACCCCAAGAGGGCTTGCCAGCTTGCCAAGGCTACGGGTTCCTGGAGTGTCCAGCACCAGGCCCGCTGTGGACGGAGGGCGGGAGGGAGGAAAGGAGGGCACTGCAGGCTTTGAGAGGCCATGTGGCCAGCCATCGGTGCCAGGTTGTGCAGCGTGTGGGGGGCAGGTGCCCAGGCAGACTGAGGCATGAGCTGAGGGCATGGGTCTTCCATGGCTGCTGGGGCTAGCTCGTTGTGGACCCTCACGTGCGTTGGTCTCACTGAGGCTACCTTGCCCCTGCTTTACAGTGGACACCGTCGCCGCCTCCGATGGGCAACAGGCTGGCAATGACCAAAAGGCAACAGTGGGCACAGGCCGCACCGAGGTGGAGCCCGGGTAAGTGTGTGTGTGTGTGTGGCAGTGGCTGTGGCCATGAAACATGGCTGGCCAGGCCTGAGTGGAATGTGGGGTGTCCCAGGTGCCATTGGAGGAGGCGGCAGGCTGGGCTGTGGAAGGCTGGTTCCTGGTGTTCCAGGAAGGTTGCATTCTGCCCCTGCACTCCAACTCTGCTATGGTCAGGGCCCGCCAGGTCTGTAGAGGCTTTGGCACTGTGCCTTGCCAAGAGCTGTCCCTGGTG